GTGGTCTTAATTCGCTACTCTGTGCAGCAATATTTTCTACCCTTCCGGTGGTCCCGCCATCCTTTCTGTCTTCCCCCGTCTTCCCCTACCCTTCCCTACCCCTTCCCCCCACTCCCCGATGTTCATGTTGGCGGGAAACGGCACGGTGGAGTGGCTGATTTCATGAGGCTGCGCACACTTGGATCAGAGCAAGAAAGGTTGCCAAGAATATTTGCCGCTGCGGGAAAGCTCCGAAAAAAAAAAAAAAAAAACTTCTCAAGGAAACAAAGAGAAAGCTCATAGAAAAGCTGAGTGAGGGGTTTACTATCCGTACGCAGCTTTTTCATTGAAACTCACTGTTCTTGGTTACACCCTTACAACAAATATGAAACAAAATTTAGAATAAAATAAATTTTGGTTAAAATTCCTCTGCTGATTATTGGACAAAATAGTAAAATCATGCTCTCCTGAAAATCTTTAGAAATCCTATCGGTAAGGTGGGGTATTGGAAAAAAAATCCATCGGAATCTCTCTGCCCATTCAAACAAACTTAAAATTTTAGTAGCATGTAAGTAACAGCATTCTGTAATATGAAAAACTACAGTTGAATGGCGAACACGGGAGGGGGGCAAGGTGGTGCTGGGCTTCCCTTTCGGTCAAAAACGACCGTAATAATGACTGTAATAATCCTGTAATAATGTGTAATAATGTAAAATAATGCAAAATAATGTGTAATAATGTAAAATAATGTGTAATAACGCGTAATAATTGTAATAAGCGTAATAGCGACTACTCTGTGCGCCAGTTTTCGAAGTGAATACCCCCTCGACGAAACCACTGACGAGACCAGGACAGACAAGCAAAGAGATAGACTTACAGTGCAGGAGCAGCTGCTGCATGTGCATCCGGAGTTGCAGCTGGGCAGGGGCGAAGGGGGTGAAATATGGACAGTCACGTCCCTTAGCGGCAGCCTCGGCTGAAGCCAATGGGGCGGCGGTGGAGGAAGGGATGCTGAAGGTGGGGGTGCGTTCTCCTTGTCAGGATCCTGAAACATAACAGAGAAAAAGGGGTAAGTGACCAAGTTCACACATTTCGCCATAACATGTCATGACTAGCAGTTTTGATGAAAGACAAAAGTGCTGTTCATTGACACACTATCAGGCAAAAGACAGAGAGGTGAGAAAAAAATGAAGGGCATAGTGTACTTACTTCCGCGGCCTCCTCGACGGGGGTGCCGGGGCGGTGCGGCAGCGGCGGCGGCAAGGCTGGCCCCTCCACGATAACAATTTCTGGCTCCCAGGGCTCCCTGGCGTTGTCATCAGGCTGAAACCATTAAGGGTACAGAGAGATTAGTTTCTTGTCAAAACACGAAAGAAAATCGCGTACCGATACCGTTCGTTCGCAGTGAATCGGCATTGGTAAGCAAGATCAAGGTGAACGCTTCAAACAGTATTCACATTTTTTAGCACAGAAAATGGAATGCGCTTTGAAGCGTACATCTCGCTACCCACCATAGCGGCATGTCGTAGGAGCTTCCATGCTAAATCTCATCGCTGTAGCTCAAAAACGACGCCCTAGAGGCCTGCAACCGTTTGCAATTTCATGTTCCGAGAAAAACGCGATCAAAGTTGAGGAAACTGGGCTTTTCCCCTATGCATGTTTGCGGCCCACAACCTCTTAAAACTGCAATTTTTTGAATTTCGGAATGCGGGTTTCACCATTCGACGCAGAAAAGAATGGTCTATAATATGAACTAATAAAAAAAGTTGCAATTTTTGATCATTTTGGAGTGATGTCCCCCCCTTAACTATGAAAAATGGAACAACATTGTTCGTGCATTGAAACAAAACCGAACCAAAACTCCGGCACGGCATTCTCATTTGAATTCACAACAGCTGCGGCGTTCATTAAAGCTGAGGAATGATTACTTACACGCATTGGCCTCTTCTTCATTGGATTTTTCGCCAGGGGATCGCCTTTCCTCCGGCCGGCCATCGTTGCGTGGACCAGAACTCTGGCGCAGTCTCAGTCTCAAAGTGACACCCCCCCCCCTTCTCAGTACATCTAGAGACCTAGAGACTGACGGAGAAGCGCGGGCGCCGATAAGCGCACCAACAGTTTCTCATACTCCTCGCGCGCGGCCGGAGAGCTGTTTCATATTCCAGACACAATGGCGGCGCACGCACTTAACGGCTAGAGAAGGTTTTTCGGTCACAGCTTCCAAACCGTTCTAGATAGAGGGGTATAGTAAGCGAGCCGATTGTAGGTCTCTGTACAAGCTACAATCGGCTCGCTTACTGTACCACTCTAACTTGAACGGTTTTCGAGCTGTGGCCGAAAAACTGTTCCGGTTGTCTGCTGCGCTCCGCCTCGCCCCACCTTACCGCACCGCTCTCCGCTCCGCTCCCTGTCCCCTCCCCGCTCCCCTCTGGGCCGGCCCAGACAAAATGGCCGCCAGCGCGCGACGGCGCCCGCGCTTCTCCGTCAGCCTCTAGGTCTCTAAGTACATCAAGCCGCCTTTCAGTTAGCCGTCTGTTCCGCGGAGCGACTGACACGCTTTCAGTTATTCGGATTTCAACAGCTCATATCTTTTTGAGTGAATTAGCATTGTACATACAAATTGTCGATTCAAAAAGTCCTTATTTTAATCTATCCGAAAGTATTAAAATGTCATATGTTGAGTAAAAGAAGTCAGATAGCCGTTTGTCTGCAGCGGGTCCTAGAAGATAGCCGTTTGCCTGCAGGGTTCTGGAAGGTAGCCGTTTGTCTGCAGTGCTCTAGGAGATACCCGTTTGTCTGCAATGCTTTCGGAGATAGCCGCTTGTTCCGAGGAGGTGTCGCACTGATCAATGGGGTCATGTGGACTTTGGATGAGTCGACCTTATTTTCCAATGAAATCTAGACCGTATACGGGGTGACGTTGAGTAATAACCATTTTTTCATGCACATTTTGGTCAAACAATTTGCACGGTGAAAACGGAACCTGGTTCTCCCAGGAAGCCAATGGTGAAGGCATAGGCGGTTTCCAGGGAGTTCCTGGGAAAACCAGGAACCGTTTTTACCGTGTTGTGTATTGATGTAAAGCATCCTAAAGCATAATCACAAGGAAAAAACTCAATTTGGAGATAAGAAGAATTATTCCCTTCCTTCGCTTCCAGGATCAAATATAAAATTCAAACGAACCGAGATGCGCCATATCAAGCAAGGTTGAATCAACAATATTTGTCACTCTTATAATTGGTCTTTGAGCACCTCCTGCTCCTCCACACAATGGGCGCCCTGGGAAGGCCCCATCTGGGATGAAGGAGGCAATTCTCTTGGTTTCTCCGACACGTGCACACTAAACTTCTTACGGATCCATCCTATCTGTATTACGGACATTTTTGTGCAATTGCAATTACGGATAGATTTTGCTTGTAATACACTGTAAAAATAATGTTGTGAATTTACAACGGAATATTTTACGAAGGTTTTTGGGAATGTCCAAAAGTGCACTGTAAATGTTTCTTTCCTACAGGAACTTTTGTAAATCAACGGAAGTTCGTCGTTAATTTACGAAGGTTCTTAGAAAATTTACGAAGAAAAATCGTAAATGTACAGAATCTGTTGTAAATTTACGAAGGGCTTCGTAAATTTACGACGGGCTTCGTTAATCTACGACGGGTCTTCGTAAATCTACGGCGGACCTTCGTAAATAAACGAAGGAACTGTTGGAAATTTTTTTGACGAAGGATCCGTCGTTAATAGACTATTCTAGTCGTGGCTGAGTGAAGAACAAGAAGAATCACAAAAGTGTACTTTTTTGCACTTTTACTTCAAATGCTTAAGTCCCCTTGCTTGGTAGAAGTCAATTCAAATATTTTCTAGTAAATGCAACATATTTCATCAAATATATTCACTTTAAATGCCCTAAATAGCGTCTTTTGTGATTCTTCTTGTTCTTCACTCAGCCACGACTAGAATAGTCTATTCCAGACGTAAAATTACGAAGGTTCTCTGTATTTTAACGAAGGTTCTTTGTTTATTGGCTGAGCGATAGCGAAGCCTGTTACTCCAGTGGGGTTGGAAAGTTTTTCATGTCTGTCTGTCTGTCTGTCTGTGTGTGTGTGTGTCTGTGTGTCCGCACTACTCCTCCTAAACGGCTCGGCCGATTCTGCTGAGATTTTGCAGGGTCATTGGTCATATCCTTGGCTCGCCACACACCAAAATTCAGCTTTCTATCTCAATCCATTCGGTCATATTAGCCAAAAAACACTTTAAAAACGGCAGGAAAAAGACAACTTTTTTGGAACTTTCAACTTTTTGTCAAGTTCAATGTCGTTTTAAATGTTTTTGAGGCTGCTGATGACGAAAATAGAACCCATTCAGACCTCCGACCGAAAGTTTAGCCCCATTAGTGAAGATTTTGATGACCAAATGCTCTTTCTGAGGGGATCACGCTAATTTCCACGGTCTTCCAAGGAAGGCAGCCTGCCGAAGGCAGGTTAGCGCCGCAGGCCAAGGTAGGTGTTTACGCCAGGCGTGGATTGTCGAAACTGGCGCAGCATCGCGAAGCCTGTTACGACAAGACACAGTCTGGCGTACACCTACCTTGTTAACGAAGGTTCCCTGTAAATTTACGAAGGATCTTTGTAGATATACGAAGGTGCTTCGTAAATTTCCATTGTGATTGTAAACTCGACAGAGATCGTTCAAAAAATTAACGAAGGTGTTTGTGAATATACGAAGAGCTTCGTAAATTAACGAAGGAACGGTTGGCAATTTTTTTGCCGAAGGATCCGTCGTTTATTCCGGACATTAATTTTTACAGTGTACGGACGAAATCATCCGTATTACAAAGAGTTTTACGTCCGTACCATACGGATATTTTCGTCTGTGTGTTACGGACGTAAAACTCTTTGTAATACGGATGATTTCGTCCGTATTACAAGCAAAATCTATCCGTAATTGCAATTGCACAAAAATGTCCGTAATACAGAGAGGATGTATCCGTAAGAAGTTTAGTGTGTGATATCCTAGTGTACAGCATTCCGTGGGCGTGTTTGCCGTTATTGGACGTTTTTGAGTCACGCTCACTGAATTCAAATGTTCCCGCTTGCGAGCTGTAGATGATGAAGTAAAAATATAAGTAAAATTATAAGTTACGTAAATAACGACAAGGTAGGTGTACGCCAGATAGTGGCTTCTGGCTTGTCGTAACAGGCTTTGCGATGCTGTGTCAGTTCCGACAATCCACGCCTGGCGTTGACACCTACCTTGGCCTGCGGCGCTGGCCTGCCTTCGGCAGACTCTCGCCACACACTGCCCCACAAAAAGACCTGATCGCACATCAAAGCAGCATTCGCTTCCAACTTTTATGCTGGGGGGCTCGGCCCCCCACATCCCCCTTTCATGTACGCGGCGTCGAGGTTGGTTTGCTGGTCAAACTGTATTCCATTTTTGGTTCGACTCTCCTAAAATTCTGGCTAACTTTTCTCCCATTAGGCCTCAAACCTTGGAGATTTCATTTTCAGCACCTTCCGAAACATATGAAATGATGGAAAACTAAACACGACAAAATATGTCAGTTAATTTTTTTTTGCTGTTTTCACTCACCTGGTTGGCTACCTGCCCGAGCTGGTGGCCCGAGCACTGCTAGCGGCAACGATCCGGCCGGTCAAGCGGACGGAGCCGTGCCGTGGCGCTGGGGCGCTCCCGGGTCCCTTTTTTCCGGAAAGTCCCCGTCGGTGCCCGGCCTGCACTGACGAAAGACGAGGGGTAGGGGGAGCAAGCGCACGCACCTACCTCGGGATAGAGATTATTTCGGGTGGCGCACAGTGGTTCAGAAACGGAAAAAGCTGTGCAAAAGTCCTTTTTTCAACTTTGCGATTAGCCGAAAACGACTTTGCAATGGGTAAGAGGGATGTCAGGAGGGCCCAAAGCCGAGTTTGTTTTGCCCTGGTACCCCACGCACTCGCCAGGACAAGCGTGCCCGTTTCCGCTTCGGCGCTACGCGCGCGAAGCGAGTGGAGCGGCCGAAGTGTTCCGCTCTTTTGGCGGCCGCTCCTTGACGAACATGACAGGCTGGTTAAAATCTAAACATGCAGCAAGGTAGTCCAAACTCTCCTCTTTTCAACGGTGCCTTCAGATTTGCGCTCACTCATTCCGTTCCGTGTTAAATCTCTTTCTTTTGTGTGAATGCAAATCACGGTTTTTTTGACCACTTTTGGAAAAGATTTGCCTGTAACTTGTGTGGAACCTGTCGGAACCTGGAGATCTTGGGCTCATATTAAAGCTTATCATGTCAGCTTTCGAGCGCACTGCGCCGTTTTTGCATATACCTGCATATCCGGCCTCAAAACGGGCCGATGAAATGGATTATACTGACTGATGTCTCTTTTGATAATATCTTAAACCTTTTCCAAAATAATGAAACACAAGGTGATGCACAAATACAAGCTACTTTTGTATGAAAGGGGCACGTCTACGATTTGAAATAACATCGGAAATGAATTCAGTGACCCCAGAAACGTATGAGCAAAGTGTAAACACAGCTTTTAAAACTGAAATTGAAACTAAGTGACGCTAGTAATTAAACGTTACGTCTGTGGTCCAAAGTAACGTCACGAATAGATTCAGCGACCCCGAAAACGTACAAGTACAGTACACATACAGCACCCCCCCCCCCCAAAAAAAAAAATAAATAAATAAATAAAAAATAAAAAGTAACGCTAGTGAATAAGCGTTACGTCAATGGTTCAAAACAACGCCAGAAATGAATTCAGCTACCCCAAAAACCCCTGGGGTGAAGTTTTCATACCAATATCTTAAACGGCCTGCCAACAATCTCTTTTGCACAGCTTTTTCCGTTTCTGAACCACTGTGTGGCGGCTCGGTGCGACGCGGCAGTGGCTCGTCTCCTCAGTCTCAGTATCGCCCAAACAGTGCACGGATCACGTCGCGTTTGAGCTTCGGGGCACGCGAATACGAGGAGTTGGTTTTGAAACTAGTTTGCTTACATTTCAACAAAGCTGATCTGTCTCCGGTGCGTGGGTTTTCCTCCATCTTTTGCTCCCCTACCGTTTTATGTGTTTGTCGTGTGTCAGTCGTACGGTCGTAATCGTTAGCGAGTCAAAACAAACGCGGTCGTGCATCAAAGGGCCATAGGGAACTCTGAAGTGACCTAGAGGCTCTGGGTCGAGACCTTAGACAGGCTAGGTCTCTTCTCCGAAGAAGTTATAGCTTTGTTCTCTCTTGTTCTTTTGTAGGTTACGCTGAAGTTCGATCGGTTAGCACTGGCCTGGCTGCGTCATCATGTCCGAGAACGTGTTCGAATGTGACATTTGCTTCAACGATTTCGACCAGGCGGAGCGCACTCCCAAGCTGCTGCCATGCGGCCACACCTTTTGCCTGGCGTGCCTCTTGGCCGTGGTGAGGAGCGACTCGAGCTGCCCGAAGGACCGGAAGGTGAGTGACATCTGGAGTTACTGTCCTAGCACACGCAGGAGAACAACACTCAATAGACCGAATCCACTGTCGCCAATCGGCTCCTTGTCAGGAGAGACTCGCTGAAACTCTTTCTTTTTACGAAAGTGATTTTGCGATTTACACAGTCAACAGTTGGTTCAGGAAGCAAAAGAAAGGGATAACTCCATTTTAGCCATTTTTTTTAGGAGAATCAAAGAACTGTTGGTAGGGAAAACTGAAACTGAAGGAATGTATGTTAGAGATAGTAACAAGTTCAAGAAGCATAAGTTTAATTTTGCGATAAACAACATAGGTGTCCTGTCACTCCGGAGAGGTTTTCTGTTACTTATTACTTTCCGTTAAGGGGAGGGTCTGGTGAAAATCTTGGCGTTTTCCAAATGGATCTCAGTGTCATAATTTGTGTGGAATATAAAATCTTTCTTTGAGAAGACTAAAATTTGACTTTTGTAGGCACCCAGTGGAAGAGTCATTTTGAGCCTATTTTGACTGCATCTTACAAAATCTTCTTGCGCATACTATTTTGTCGCAAAAGGTTGACCTTGACATTTTTCACTTCTTCGATACATTTTCAAAAGATCCTGGCATGCAAAGCTCAAAATTTCCATTATATTGTCAATTGTAAGCTTTTTAAGCTGAAAAGTCTAAAATTTGCCTATTTTGTACATTTTTGGTCAACCATAGTGAAATGCTTGGTTAGAAAGCTTGCGAATAAAAATGTCATTTACATTTTGAGTTGTGCATGGCGGCATCTTTTAAAAATGAATCAACGAAGTGAAAAATGTCAAGGCCAACCTTTTACGATAAAACTGTATACGCACTAAGATTTTTGAAGTTATAGCCTAAATAGGAGGAAAAGGCTCTGCGACTGGGTTCGGGGCACAGAATGTGCCTTCCCAATGAAAAATTTTAATAATTACTTGGTAAGACACCAAATTTTTAATTAATTTTCACAGTGGGACCTATTTAGGAGAAAATAGCATTTTCACCAGAACCTCCCCTTAAAGGAAGAGGCCTGATCTCATTTTGGTTTTTAAGTTGTTGATGGTCCTGTTCCCTAGTCTTCTCACGACAAAGAGAAAAATAACAAATTGTCAGATACTGGCAAGTATGCTTCGGTGTCGATATAAGAAAGCGATGCCCTTGTATGAATATCCCTCAAAATTTGTGTGGCAAAATCTCTCAAGTAAAAGAAAAAACAAGAATCCTGATAAAATAATTTTCTCAGCATGGTGGGCTGAAACTTATGAAGTGGCCACACACTATTTTCATTATGTCATTGAAGTTTCAAGTCAGAATTTTAAGACTGCGAACCTTTTCCTTTGTTGTGGGAAGAATTAGAGAGAAACAACTTAAAGTTTACTCAATCCTACACCACCCAGAAAGTAGTAGGGGTCTCAACTTTAAAAAACAAATTAATCTTATTATAAATTATTTTATCGTCAAAGTGAACTTCCTGTCTCAAATATTTGTAGGGCGTGGAAATTTCACTTTCCAGCATCCTTAAGGAACTAAGGGCTCAAGTTGGCATGTGCAAATGCAGATTCCGCCTTTACAAAATAACATAGTTCTTCCTCAAGGAGTTATCTCAAATTTTCTGTGTGCAGCTGTTCCCGACGCATCCCCTGGAGCTGGAAACCAATTACCAAATTTTCGCGTGGCTTGGAGGTACTAGCCGGTGAGTTGCTCTTTCAGAAATCTCTCATTGCCTGTGTGGACGTTAAATATCTGACTTCGCGTTGTTATCGCTTGTCCATCTCTGAATTCGTCAATTTATTTCCTCTATCTCCTTCAAATCTGTTTCAGCTCGAGGCCCGCCGCCGACGGAAAGAAGCTATTTGTTGCTCGCATACCACCTGAAGCGACGGAGACCGACATTCAGGTAAAGTTCACAAACCTCACTTGGCATTAAGTTAAAACCTGCGAACTTCCGCGCACTAATTTATGTGGAAAGAACGTAGGGTCAGTGCGGGGAAGAAAAGAACAGAGTTAAAACAGAACACCCCATATTTTACTTCAAACATCGTATGCACAGGCATAACAACCATCAAAATTTGTTCCATGGCATCAGCTGTTCATTGCGTGATAGTTGTTGAGCCTGTGCATACGGCATTTTACCTAATTTCTTCCCCTGTCTAGGTTTTTCCCGCACTGACCCTTTGCGTAAAATAGTGCGAGACCACGTTTACAAATTCTTCAAAGGAAATTTTATTCTCTTGACGTACTGTCATTCTGTTTCAGTTATTGTTCACCCAATTCGGCGACGTCAAGGAGACGGTTCTCATCCGCGCGCTGTCCGGAGGGCATTACAAGAAGTACGGCTTTGTAACCTTCCAGAGCGAAGACTCGGCTCAGTTGGCCTTACGGAACCAGGTGAGAGAGTGCACTGTGTCTCCGTTTGCATTTATCGTGTGTTTCGTATATTTCAGTTACGTATTGTTGATACTCGTTTCCCTTTCTTTTCTAAATGACTCGTTTGTAGCCCATATTGCTGGACGGCTCAAGACTCTTCGTGGATGGCGCCAAACCTAAAGGTACTTATGCTGGGCGCGCGGGGTGCAAGCCGTCGTTTCGGTTCCTCCGGACACGTTAGGCGCAAGAGCAAGGGGAAATCACTGAATTTCGGTGGACAAATCTAATGAATTTCAGTTGAATTTCCATGAGTTTCAGTCGAATTTGGATGAATTTTTTACACATTTGATGAATTTTGGTGAACAAATTTGGTTGGAGTTATTTCCTCTTGCGCAAGAGCTCGGACTTAAGCCAAGATTCGTCGAAATTTGCTCCTCTTACACTTTTGGTCAGGTCTCAGTGTCAAGGCTGGTTTATATCACTGAAAACAAAATAATGCTACATCTCACTCTCTGAGGGGTGAGACAGACCTGTCCCACCGAAAATGGGTGATACTAAAATATGTCTTCGGAACTAATAGCCGTACCTAAATGTATCACCGAAAAAAAAGCCCGTACACGTACCGTAAATCCAATGGCTCTAATGGTGATACTCTTAGTACCTGTTTTGGCGATAAAATCAAGTATCACCTACAAGCGGCCTGGCCAAAAAATCTTTCCTTCAAAATGGCGATGCATAATAGTATCGCTAAAATTTGGCGATATGTCCACGAGCTCGCTAACTAAAATGATCCATGATTGGTACCCCGATCCATGCTCGGCACTTCACTGAGAATCCAGACGCTATGAATATAGCGTCATTGGTGCAATGCAAAAGAATTGCACATGAAGTGGAATGCGTCTCCATTCCCATGCATTAGCATAGGGCATTTTCGGGACGGACGCATTGCACGTACACGTAGGTGCGATATGGCTGAGGCATTGCACGCAGTGCATTGCACCATACGTGCTATACTAATAGCGTTTGGAATCTCAGTGTTCACCCTCATTTGAAGGCGATTGATCCCTCTGTTTTCTCTGGCAAACCTATAAACCACAACGAGTATAAAAGAGTCACCATATTTTGGGTGAACAACGTTTTCGTACCGAATTCAGGCATTAAAGGGTGTACCAGTTATCTCAACGCTTTACACTGAACTCTCAGGTGAGAAATTAGGCCACCCTAGGGATCAGAAAAAAATCTCACCTTTGTGTGCTGAGATTCGCAATTCTCACCTATTGAAACGTTGAAAGTCCCCTCTTTAGCGGTGAGAATCGGAATTCATGCCATGAATGTTTTCCCACATCAAACAGGGTGGTAGAACAATTAAGGGGAGGTTCTGGTGAAAATCTTGCTATTTTCAAAATGGATCCTACAGTCATAATTTGTTCGGAATACAAAATTTTTCATTGAGGAGACTAAAATTTGACTTTTGAAGGCACATGCCAGGCTGTAAACCCAGTCGAAGAGTCTTTTTGAGCCTATTTTGGCTGTATCTTAAAAAATCTCCTTGCGCACACTATTTTGTCGTAAAAGGTTGACCTTGACATTTTTCACTTCTTCGACTCATTTTCAAAAGATTCCGGCATGCAGAGCTCAAAACTTCCATTATATTATTAGTTATTAGCTTTTTAAGCTGAAAAGTCCATAAAATTTGTCTATTTTGTACATTTTTGATCAATTTTAGTGAAATGCTTGGTTAGAAAGCTTGCGAATAAAAATGCAATTGACATTTTGAGATGTACATGCCGGCATTTTTAAAAAATGAATCGAAGAAGTGAAAAACGTCTAAGCCAACCTTTTACGACAAAATAGCATGCGCAAGAAGATTAAAGTTATAGCCTAAATGGGAGAAAAAGGCTCTGCGACTGGGTTCAGGGCATAGAATGTGCCTCCCCAATGAAAATTTTTAATTAATTCTTGATAAGACATCAAATTTTTAACAAATTTTCACAGTGGGACCTATGTAGGAGAAAATAGCATTTTCACCAAAACCTCCCCTTAACGACAAAATTTGGTGAGAACTTTGATCCTCACCACAAGACTGAGATATATTCCTCGCTATCGCCCAAGTTTGGATGTAAAACCATTCATGAACCAAATTTGAGTGGTAAAATAATCCTTGTCCTAAATTCGGGTCTTGTTCACGATTTTAAAATTCTCGTACAGCTCGGTTTAATGGAAATTCATGTTACAGGTAACAACTCAGTGGCGCCGAATCAGCAAGGACAGGCGTGGGTTCCTCCTGGCTACCCTTATTCTCACCGAGTTTTCGTGGAATGGATTCCTCGCGGCCTCAAAGACTCCCAACTGATTGTAAGTACTCCCAGCTGTTGGTGTCTACGGAGCGTGGTGGTTCAGTGAGGGGCAGGTGTAGGCCATAACCTTCAATTTGCGAAGTCCTTCTGGTCCTGGTAGTGTGCTTGATTCTCTTTACAATAAATTCACATGAATGCAAGTCGAGTTATCCATGATTGACATTTATTTTAACGGAGTCATTTGGGCTTAAGTTACGTTGTTTCCATTTTCTGCTACATTGACTGCGTACAAGAGGTCTAGTTGAGTCGTATCCTATTCCCTTGAAGATTTTCTCTGTAACTGTTAAGGATACTGTAAAGTGAAACTAGCATGTCCTAGAAATATTTGTCACAGGCATTTTTATCTATTTTTGAATAGAAAAAAGATAGCGTTGGCGGATTTGAAGATATCAGTCGAGAAGAGGCTGTAAACGCTATTTTATCAGGCCAATTTTTATTTTCCTTCAAATTTGTGAGATTTTGAACCATACTGGTCTTTTTTTTTCCAGGAAAACTAAGGCAGATATTAAATAAATAAAAGGTCAACGCTATCTTTTTCCTATTCAAAAATAGATAAAATTGCCAGAATCTGAAGACTGGGTAGCTAATCCTTTGTCGTGAGGAGAATTTGGGAGAAACGACTCAAAGTTCACGTAAACTTTCATAACTCAGAAACTAATATAATAGGAGTTGGGGCCCTGGGGTATGAGTTTATATAATAGAAAGGTACTTTAACCCCTAAATTGAGACATCTGACACAAGTATTTAAAAGATGTCATACAGTCATACAGGCACTTTTTTCACTTTACAATAACCTTAAGAATTGAGTCACTTAATGTGGTGTCATGATGTAATCCATTTTAGAGCACAATAACATAATTAAAAATCAATCTGGAGATAAGTCAAAGCACTCACACTCCGATCGACTCTTTCGTTGTAGGAAGTGCTCGGACATAAAGTCGACGGACCCAACCAGTCACAGGAGTGTAGGGCCCCTGTACTTCTCACCACGCCTGGTTATTCAGCATTTGCTCAGGCTTGAACAACACGTGTCACAGCACGTATGATGACACGTGTTGTGCAAACCTGGCAATTTAGCGCAGCTTCTGAAATAAACTTTCATGCTGTGTCCCAGGCTGCATTCAGCAAGTACGGAGCTGTCGAGGCTGTTCGGTGCGAGAGACGAGCCGCACGCCGAAACCACGCCTTTGTCACGTTCGCCTTGCCGGAGGCAGTGGACAGGGCCTGCCGGGACCAGGTAAGGTCACTCCTGCATTCGTGATGAAGCTTTTGTCTTCGAACTGCTCTTTTCACGGCTGAAACGAAGGAGCTTCTGAAGCTTCAAGGGGGCTCATACATGTTAAAAGCACTTTGTAAATTTTTTTTTTGATTTAGATGGATTAAGATTTAACAATTTCTGTGTCCTTTTAGATAATTGAGTAAGCTTCATTTTGGCTTAAAGGAAAGTGTCTTTGGACAATATTTGGAGATTTAGTCGAAACGTTTAAAATTTTGGTTCTCGTAAGATTTTGTTCGCATACTTGCTCAGATCTGTGGGGAAAAAATCAGGGAGACTCATCCCTAGTAGTGTCATAGAATTGACTACAATGGGCTTTATATCTGCAATAGTTTTCAAGAGAAAAATGAAAACAATTTTTTGTTAAAAAATGTGTTTCAAAAATTGTTAAAAAATGTGTTTCAAAAATTGTTAAAAAATGTGTTTTAAAAATTGTTAAAAAAATTGTTTTTATTTTTTTTTCTTGAAAACTATTGCAGATATAAAGCCCGTTGTAGTCAATTCTATGACACTACTAGGGATGAGTCTCCCTGATTTTTTCCCCTCAGATCTAAGCAAGTATACGAACAAAATCTTACGAGAACCAAAATTTTAAACGTTTCGACTAAATCTCCAAAACATGTCCAAAGTCACTTTCCTTTAAGCCAAAATGAAGCTTACTCAATTATCTAAAAGGTTTTTAACACAGAAATTGTAAAATCTTAATCCGTCTACATCAAAGAAATTTTTTTACAAAGTGCTTTTAACATGTATGAGCCCCCTTAAGTCCCGAAGCACTTTCGTTTGAAGTGTAACATATGCTCAGCTTGAACAAAGGGTGTGCAGGTGCTACGAGGGGGCAACCACGTGCGATGTTTGGGGACACAAGATTTCATAAAACGAGAGGTTTCGTCGGATTTCGCAAGATTTCGTCCAATTTTACGCTGGGCCTAAAATCTGCCAGGTTTTTGCCTTTTTGGGGAAAGATTTCGGATTTCTAGATATTTCTAGGGCTGCAGGTGATACAAGATATCTCGAGTACACTCAGACAAGGTGGTGCCCTGAAACTGACCGACTAAGTCGCCCGCCCCAGTTTTTAGGGCGACTTGAGTCGCCTACTTTCTGGGCGACACAGTCGCCTAGTTTCTGGGCGACACAGTCGCCTAGTTTTAGGGCATCTTGGTCGCAAATACAGAGCTTACTTTACTATGCTGGCCCAAGGCATTGCACACAAGTTTGCCTGCACATGGATAAACTCAATGATTTCACATTTGGGTTGCGTCAGAGATGCCCCGAATCTAGGCGCAATGGGTGCCCCGAATCTGGGCAGCAGTGGTTTACATTAGGTCGGACCAACCCCAAAGGTGCTCAGGTTGAGGGCGCCTTGGGCCAGCATTCATAAGTAAGCTCTGTATTTACGACCAAGATGCCCTAAAACTAGGCGACTGTGTCGCCCAGAAACTAGGCGACTGTGTCGCCCAGAAAGTAGGCGACTCAAGTCGCCCTAAAAACTGGGGCGGGCGACTTAGTCGGTCAGTTTCAGGGCACCACCTTGTCTGAGTGTAGCTGCTCCCTCCAACAAGGCGTGCCGGAGTTTTGTTTCCATATGGACCGAGTCCAAATTCCGCTTCCCTGAGTTTTGTTAATTTAGACCCCTAAAAGAACAAAACTCAGTGGAGCGGAATTTGGACTTGGTCCACATGGAAACAAAACTCCAGTTCGCTTTAATCGCAAGGAAAAGCAATTCCTTCGGCACTGCAAGAAGAAGTGTGAATAGTACAACAAATGTACAGCAAAACCTGTACAATAAAAGTACAACGGGGATTGTAGAAACTACAACGAGAATTGTACAAACCACAACGAGGCCTGGACTGCACAGCACTCGTCATGCCGGTTCCATTGGACTTTGTACAACAATTTGTTGTACTTTGAAAGTACAATAAAAACCTGATAAAAAATTTGCCAGAAATTTGTGTACTTTTGTTGTGGTTTTTTCTTGCAGAGGGTTGGCTTTCTTCCCCAGTTGAGCATAGGCCGTTCGCCTTTGCAAGTCAACCTATAATTGCTATAATTTTTTAGTTTGCCATAAGTGTTTCGGTTTGGGTATCATCCCTGGTGCGTTGTTGCGCAGTATCAGGCTTATGCTCAACTAGAGAAGAAAGCCAACTTAAGCCAAAAAAAATTCTTGTTAAGGGGAGGTTCTGGTGAAAATGCTATTTTCTCCTAAATAGGTCCCACTGTGAAAATTTGTTAAAAATTTGGTGTCTCATCAAGTATTTATTAAAATTTTTCATTGGGGAGGCACATTTTATGCCCTGAACCCAGTCGCAGAGCCATTTTCTCCCATTTAGGCTATAACTTTAAAAATCTTCTTGCGCATACTATTTTGTCGTAAAAGGTTGGCTTAGACGTTTTTCACTTCTTCGATTCATTTTTTAAAAATGCCGGCATGCACACCTCAAAATGTCAATTGCATTTTTGTTCGCAAGCTTTCTAACCAAGCATTTCACTATAATTGATCAAAAATGTACAAAATAGACAAATTTTAGGGACTTTTCAGCTTAAAAAGTTAATAATTAATAATATAATGGAAGTTTTGAGCTATGCATGCCGGAATCTTTTGAAAATGAATCAAAGAAGTGAAACATGTCAAGGTCAACCTTTTACGACAAAATAGTATGTGCAAGAAGATTTTTTAAGATACAGCCAAAATAGGCTCAAAAAGACTCTTCGACTGGGTTTACAGCCTGGCATGTGCCTTCAAAAGTCAAATTTTAGTCTCCTCAATGAAAAATTTTATCTTCTGAACAAATTATGACTGTGGGATCCATTTGGAAAATGGCAAGATTTTCACCAGAACCTCCCCTTAAAAAAGCGAACGGCCTCGGTTACATTTTGTTATTTTGTGTTTTTCAACGAATGTGATGTCATGCTCCTTAAAATTTGCCGTCACGTTTCTTTCAACTCGATACCTTTTTTGGTGTGAACGTGATTCGGCCATTTAATGGGGATGTCAAAATCACTTAAATGTGGATCAACATTGAAAGGAATATAACAGCACATTCAAACGAGCGTGACGGAACCACATTCTACACACTTAATGTTTTTGTACAAATTTTGTACGAGACATCACAGTTTTTTGTGCATACGAACTTTTCGTACAAATTTGTACAAATTTTGTACAATATTGTACTAAAATGGCGAAAATGTGCAGATTTTCGTACGAAAATTGTACGAAAATTTCGTATGCACCAAAAACTGTGATGTGTCTTGTTCAAAATTGTACATAACATTTAGTGTGTAACGAACATGACGCCAAATTCATCGGATAACATTGAACCATTTTTAACCATGGCAGGTGGTGGTGACGTCGACGGGACACCGTCTGCGCTTCCGCCGGCTCCGGGAGTGTGAGCCCCCCTCCAGTGCACGGCGACCAGCCCCGCAGCGGCAGCCCGCCCAGCGACCTCACCACCGCCGCCAGTCTGGACACGGCTCCGAGCGCGTCATCCTCACGCAGCCTGACTGCTGCAGCGTTCAGTGACGGGCCGGCGGGCCGGCTTCTGCATTCGTCACCCTCGCGATTCCTGTTGTCTGTATTCATCATATCAATCAAGAGATTCAAATCAACAAATCAATGATAAAAATAAATATCTTTCACAGTTTGTCCTCCTTGTTTTTTTTTCCCGTCAATGTTCCGCATGTGACAGCCGATATTTGAAGAACTAGCAGTGTGTCAACACGTAGGCGCCCCACGCCGCGCCCCCGACATCCGCGTTTGTAAACATTCGACGTCTCGCCGAGGCACACCCGGGAGTGTGCTTGTCATGCCACCACACTCGACGAAGGTTTCCCGCAGCCGATGCTTCATTTCAAGTGCCACGTCTTCAAGCGCAACTTATGCTTGACTAAAGCACGATGACTCGGTGATACATTTATGTAGGACCTTTTCCCTCGGTAATACATTCGTGTGCAACCCTTTTTTTTCTGTGATACTTTTTGTATTGCCGAAAATTTACTCTGAGACTCGTAATGACTTGTTTCTCTCCAATATTGACCTTTTATCCTTGAAGCAGCAATAATATTTAGTATTTCCTTTGTAACCCTCTGTACAATACTGTTCACTGTAAAGACTGTAAATTGTCAGCAATTATTGACCATTTTTGAAGTCAATTGCGTATTGACTCTTTGTCAATGGCAAACTGACTGTAAGTCAATATAACGAGCCAAATCTTATATAGATATTGAGGAAAAAGTACTTTTTATTGCTGTGTAAAATACTCTTTACCAAAAGATAAAAAGTCAACATAAGTCTGAGAGTGTGGGTGAGATGTCTCTTTGATAACGTGCAGTCAATAATTGCCTTAACGCAATTAGCGCCTTTACCGTCGTCATCCAAGAAATTCAGGCCGTTTAGTGGTGAGACGTTTTTGTCTCATTTGTCTCACATTTAGGCGACACTTTCAGGTCTGGACCTTTGGATTAGTAGTGGTAACCATGAAAAGAGAAAGAAAGCGTCGTAGACTTGCTATTTCCTGTGAAGAGATACTTGGTTTCACGAAGGAGTTTCCTTAAGGCTTCGTTGATTTTGCAGTGCATTCGTGTTCTTGGTACATTGCGCAACACAAATAAACGAAGTCTTCAAAGCTTTTGCTTCGTATCTACTCGAAGAAAATGAACGCATTGTAGAAATGCTTCGTATTATGAAGAAATGCTTCATATTACGAAGGAGTTTGCTTCGTAATGCAAAGCACTCTTCGAAAAATTTATAAATGTCTTCGGTTTCTTCGTGTTACGAAGCGATGCTTCGCAGACTTTTTCCTGTGAAGGCAACACTGCAAGAAAAAGTCACAACAAAAGTACACCAATTCCTAGCCGATTTTTGACCGGGAATTTATTGTACTTTCAAAGTACAACAATTGTCGTACAAAGTGCTATGCATCGGCATGACGAGCTGTGCAGTCCAGGCCTCGTTGTAGTTTGTACTGCAATTCTCGTTGTACTTTATGCAATCCCTGTAGTACTTTTATTGTACAGTTTTTGCTGTGCTTTTGCTGTAGTATTCAGACCCTTCCTTGCAGTGAATGCTTCGTAGGCTCTTTTCAGTGTTTGTGTTGTTGACAGTGATGGTGGTGCTCGTCCTGGCGCTGGCCTGCGGGGTGGCCGCCCTGCTGCCGCCCCCCGCCTTGGACGCGCCGCCCGAGGCCCTGTGCGCCTTGTCCATGGTGCCTCGCCTGCTCGGCGCCGGCCGCCACCCCCGCCTCTTCGTCATCGGGGTCGTCCCGTGGCTTGACGCGTTCCTTGGCCGCCTAGGCTCCACGGCGGAGGTCACCTTGGCCAGCCGCTTCGAGGACACCCTGTCCTTCCGCATGACTTACGAGGACGCCTTGGTCATGGTAAACACCCTCAGCACGTTACTGAAGATACGTTGTTCTGTCAGATCACTCAAATGTGTCACGGGTATACTCTACAAATCAAAGAGTGTACATGGTACGCTCTAACTGGAGCATGCCTGCAAGCACGCTCTAACTAGCGCATGCCTGCCAGGCATGCACTAACTAGTGCATACATGCCATGTACACGCTAACTGAAGCATACATTTACTGCATGGGATAGGGAGTTTTCTGCATCAGGAAGCGTGTACATGGCATGTATGCTCTAGTTAGTGCATGCTTGGCAGGCATGCGCTAGCTAGAGCGTGCTTGCAGGCATGCTCCAGTTAGAGCATACTATGTACACTCTTTGATTTGTAGAGTAATGCCTGGTGGAATGCTCGTTGCAGGCAGTGGCGAACACCTCCTCCACACTGGTGGAGACGGTGCTGCCCCGAGTGTCTGTCCCCTACACCACCCGGACAATCCTGTGGACAGGCCTGTCGCCGGGACCACTCAGCTCTTCCATCCATTCTGTTGGCGGGCTGTGCCTTCGCAACGCGGCGCTCGCGCTGACCGCCCCCAACGGCAGCACCTTCCTGTACCGCAACCCTTGCAACTGCGAAGAGGGCCCGCTGCGCACCGTGGAGGACAACCGGTGGGACCCCGGGCGCGGATGGCGCCACGCAGGTAGTGGCGGGGGAACGCGGAACTGAGTCGAGTAGGGGGCACGATCTATTCATATTCTAAAGAAAATTGTTTAATTTTCGAATCGATCTATTTTGAACCAAACCAGCATAAAACCCGAGTCAACCCCTCCTGAGAAAACCACCATAACTCACCTGGGCCTTAAGAGACATCCTTACTCGCCGGGGCGCTAGAAAAACGTCGAAACATGCTGGGAGGCAATCTCAACTTAAAAGGTTTTGTGCACCCACTGCTCGGGCGAATTAGGGTACGTAGTTTTCTAACCTTCCGGCGAGTTAGGATGGTCTCCTTGGGCCGAGCACTGAGATTCCAAACGCTACGAGTTATAGCACGCATGGTGCAATGCAGCTGAGATATCGCACCGTACGTGCAATGCGATAGCCATATTGCACCTTACGCGCAATGCATCCCATGCTAATGCATGGGAATGGAGAGGCATTGCACTACATGTGCAATGCTTAAGCATTGCACCAATTGACGCTATACTCAGCGTTTGGATTCTCAGTGATGGCCAGTTCCAATGTTTCTTTTAGGAGGAGTCGATTTTTAATTGATTTTGACATGAGTATCACATTTGATTATTATTCGAATAGAGTACTCCGAAGAAGCTCTGGCCAGGAAAAAGAAGAACAAAAACAGAAGTAAGAAATTGCAATTACTATGAGAAATATACGCTGCGCATGAAGGTATTTTTCATGGAAACTGCAATTTCTTACTTCCGTTTTTGTTTTTCTTCTTCCGGGCCAGAGCTTCTTTGGAGTACTCTATCGACTTTGCTCTCGTTCGATTCCGATCAATTTCGCAACTTTCGAGACTGAAAGACGCTGCTTCGCAGGGCCCGTCTTCGCCCCGCCCTGCTGGCACTGGCGGCCGCCCGAGAGCGGCGTCCTGGAGGCTTGGGTCAACCCGTACCTTCCCGGACACCACATTGAGCGCTGGGCCGCCAGGGCAGAACGCGAACTGCGCCACTTCGCCAAGTACAGTGGCGTGCCGCTGGCAATAGACAGACTCAGCTTCAACGAAAGCGATTCCAGGTCAGGGAAACACAACTTGAAATTTTCGCACATCTATTGTAGCACTGAAAGAGCACTGTCAAAAAAGTACGGAAAATTTTGTTAATGTTTTTTTTTGCCAGGATTCTCCGCAGCCCGTAGGACCGCATAGTATTCTCCATACGACCGTACAGTTTTCTCCGAGGCGGCAACCACTCGCGAAGTCCTGTGTACACCTGATTGGCCGAAATCTTGTGCGAAATCAGTAGAAATCTCGTGAAATCCCTTCGAAGTCTGGTGAAATCTCGCTAAATCCCATCAAAATCTGGTGAAATTACGCGAAACCTTGCAAAATTTTGACGCAAAATCTCTATCTTTGAAGAATCCTGTGAACAAAAAATTTCAAGTGATTGCCCCCTCCGTCTTTTCTCCTACGTATAAGGCCCTACGGAGAATATTGACAAGGGGGCTACGGAGAACTACCCCAATCTCTTCACAGAATTTTCCGTAGCTTTTTCCCCACAGTGAACAGAACGAAAATAGAACATCAATGACAATGATAAAATGTGATTAAAAGAGAAAACATATTTGAAAAACGTAACAGTAACACGACCGTGCGTTGATTTTCCTCGCGGTCCAGGCACTCGTCCGCAGTGCTCTCCTGCCGGATGGACATCTTGACCACGGCCCTGGCGCTCGTCCCCGCCCTGCCGTTCGTCCCCTTCCCCTGGGAGAGGGCGCGCTCGTACGCCGTGGTGCCCGCGCCCCTGGGACTGCGGCGGGGGCCCCTGGCGGCGTGGGCGGGCGAGATGAGCCCCGCGGCTTGTTGGAGCACGCACGCCGCCATCCTCGCTGTGGCCACGGGGATGTGCCTGCTGAGACGCCGAGGCCCGCTCTCCTGCGACGCCACCAAGGCCCTCAGCAAGCCCCTCCCGAGCGGGCTGCGCTTGCTGCAGCGGCCCGTCCTGGGGTGCTGGCTGCTGGTGGGGGTCGTCCTCCTAGCCTCGTACCAGGGCCGCCTCCTCAGCAGCGCCAACGACCGCGACTCCGTCGGAGACATCAAGTGCGTCGGGCAGCTCGCCGACAGCAACCTGACCATCCTCCTGCCGAACCCAGTGAGCAACGTGCTCTTCCTGCTGCGGGAGTGGCGGCTGGCCGGAAGAGTGCGGTACACGGAGCCCGAGGGCCTCTCGCTGGCCGACGTCCTGAGGCACATCGGCGCGGTGCGGGACGCCGCCACGCTCGTGACGCAAGCGTCCGTAGAGAATCTGCCACCGCTTCAAATGCAAAGGTCAGACTTCCCGCCGGTCCAGAGGACACTTTGGTCAGAGCTGAAAGTCTTGCCAAAATTTGGCTACACTGCTGCAAAACCACTCTGCAAACTCATCCAATTACTTAACAAACTTAAACGAAAAAAAAGAGCCACGTGCAAAAAATGCACCAGAGGAACCAAAACTCTCTGCTGACTATAGCTCCACTTGACTTGTCTCCAAATTCCACTTCGTTCAGAACATAAAAGTTGAGATGACTCTGCACTGAGAATCCAAATGCTATGAGTATGGCATCAATTAGTCAATTGGTGCAATTTTAAAGTGCACAAGGTGCAATATGACTGAGGCATTGCACGTATGGAGCGAGATCTCAGGGCATTGCACCATACGTACTATATTCATTGGAATCTCAGTGTGTTTTCCATTTTAACGGCAATTGATGAGTCACAGAAATCCTATACGCACTACGCAGTGACCTCATACTTATGTTGTTTGAACCAGTTATTATGTAAAACATTCATTCTCTTTAGTTTTACTTTTCCCTGCTAACAGTGTTTTGTTAACACTAAATGTTTATGTAGAATTTTGTACGTCGTAATGGACGATTTTAAACCTGCGTGACGTTATGCATAAAATTGTGCAGACATTCGCATAAATTCATGCATTTGCACGCATAATATTATGCGAATTCCCCGCATGCACAAAATCGTGCAGGTGGCACGTACAAAATTCTACATAAACATTTAGTCAGGGATCCTTTACTCAACTTAACATTTAACTAATACTGCTTTCATAACGTAACACAAGACAGTGTTCGCTAAAGGTTAAGGGTACGGAAAGTACTTGCTAAAGTATATCCACACAAACACTGTTATTTGACTTGCGATACAGACCGCACTTTCTGCGCAATACAAATTTCACAGCACTTTTCTGTGATGATCGTTGCTAAAAGGTGTGATGAGCTACAGTATCGCAGAATTTTGTAATGATCATTGCAAAAAACTGCAATGATAACAGATTTTTGTGTTGTCATCATCACAGTTTTTTGCAATAATTTCGATCCTCATTGCAGAAAGTTGCAGAATTTTGTGCGATACAGAAGTCATTGCATCTCAGGAGCAATGATTCGTGGGAATCACATTTCGGATATCATCGCACGTTTTTGTGTTGAAAGTATCGCAACTTAGATAACAGTGAATTCGAGACATAAAAAAATAACATACCCTTTTGAAAAGATGTTATAAGTTAAGGGTAATAACTTTAACTCTTATCATAACGTTATGATGCCCTTATGAGGTAAGTTAAGGATCCTTGCATTTAGTGTGGTTAAGTTACCTTAAAAATTGCCGAAATGGAGTTATCCCCCTTCTTCGGCTTCCTGGATCATTTGGTCTTTATTTTGAGTGTCCGTTCACCACCAACAGGGCCCGCGTGCGCCTGTTCCTGCTGCCGCAGAGCATGGACGCCACCGACCACGTCGTCATGCGGGGGTGGCCGTTCGAGGCGTCGTTCCGGAGATTCCTCGGGCGATGGCGCGCCGCTGGGTTGTACTCCAAGTTCAGCTTCAGGGAGACCAGTGGACTGGCCCACCAAGCCGCAAGGCCGCAAGTGCCACGAACCTCTTTCGAGCCCCTCAGGCTAAAGCAAGTTCAGCCAGTGGTCCGCGTCCTCCTGACGGGCTGCCTCAGCTCTTGTCTGGTCCTGGTTGTCGAATTATTCGTCTCTTTCACTGTCTCCGCTACACAGGACTCGATGGGGCGTTCAAATCACATCTCGAACGGAAGAAATTAAAATAAAAACCGACTTTGCATGACTGTAAACCGAGCGTTGTAAGGGACTGAAGAGTTCCGCACTGTGAGAAAAGAACACGGTAAATCCTGTACTGATTACTCCACACTTCGCCGTATTTCTAAAGCCAGCATCTACCGTACTGCGCCATAACAGAGTTTTTTTTATTCATCGTGTAAATTTTTCGTAAATTACAAAAACATAAATTTGCAACAATCGAAAACGTGATCCGTTCATGCTATCAGCAAATTGTTTAGATACAAAATGTGCCACTCAAAACCAAACCTCCCGGCTCGGCTCATCGAAGTAACAAGAAATCGTGTGTTTTGGGCAAATGACAACATGAAGCAACAATTTCCATGGCAACGGCACGGTCCTATCCTGCCACAAGTCAAAATTTAACATCGCAGATAAAAAGAAATCAAAACGCCGGGAAATTCAAAAGGTAATGCTAACGCAATGCACGGTGTCCCCACATTCGAACATCTTTGAGGTCAGTCAATAGTAAAATGTTCGTAGCAGGAAGGACGCTGTAAATTAATTTTCGTGGGCTGGCAAGAATTTTCTCGGCGTCTGCGCCTCTTCCAAAACAGCGAGGCTGAAGAAACGAGTATTCACGCATTGAAACTGCCCCTCAATTGTTGCTGAGGTTAGATTGTTTGGCTTGCTTTTTAAGGCCGCGGTTCTCTTGTCATGTTTTCCTCAATTCTGTAGAACAGTTCTTACAACGTAAGAACACACTGTAGGAAAAATCCACGGGAAAAGGTACAGGCAGGGTGATAAAACCTGCGGAGGCAAAACAACCGCAATAAGGCGTCTCGAGCCGCCGCCGCCTTGGTGGTGTTAGCGTCGTATTACTGCCGCCACATCCTGGCCAGCACGCTGACACAGCGACATCGCTGCGACGCGCCTACACCCGGCCGGCCGCGAACCGCGGACAGACGCTGAACACTGTAAATTAACCGAAGCAACAGAAGGAAAACAGAGACCGGAACAGAACAGAATCCACGGCTGAGGGCGTCGATGCTAGGAAAATTGACTCGTGGCACAGCACCGTCGAGCTAGAGCAGAGAACGAGGTGCAGCCCGAGCACACACAGCCCAAAACCCCAAACGAAACCATAACGTAGGGTGACTCGGAGGCACTGGGCGATTGATGCGGGTGTTAATTGACGATGCTGATGAGTCGAAGGAGAGGCCGCTACACCTAAACAAGGGACACGGCACGGCAGAAACGGTACCTGGTTTTCCCAGGAAGCCTATGGTAAAGACATAGGCGATTTCCAGGGGGTTCCTGGGAGAACCAGGTACCGTTTTTACCGTGGGGGAATACCCTGGCCCAGCCCAACCCATCCCGACGGACGACACAGAGTCACCTGGAATTCCGTGGTGTGGAGCAGGTGATGCAGGCAGAGGGATCCATTGGCGGTGATGCTGATGAGGAATCCGTAGGAAGGCTGCAGCAGGTCGCCCGCTGGGGTGCGCAGAACGAGGGCCGCAACCTAACCTCACTCTTGTGGCACGCAGGACGCTGGCTGGACATGCGTGAGCGTCGCGCCGCTGCCGGCTTATCGCACGCACTGCCTCAAGGCACACAAAGACGCACATGGCCGGGACGACCAAAAATGCTCATAACCTCCACAAAACGACACCGATCGACACACGAACAAGCACACGCAATCACTGTCAACCACCCGCGTCAGATGCGTCAGATGATACCAAAAGCAGCCATCGGAACTGATTTTATACCACCTCAACCGAGACAAGTACAGGAGCGGCTCCAAACGCGTAGCGGGCGGCTCTCCGAGGCCCCCAGCGCTCCGCCTGCGTCCTACCGGGCCGGTGGTCGCCACACGCCCAGGTCGGTCGAATTCTCTTGTAAGTTGTACTGTACGTCCGACTTGTTAAAAGTGTCACCTTGAAATCCAAGAAGTTTCGAACGAGTTTTTTAAGTTGTCCAAATTGACATTGCTGCATACAAATGGATTCGTCTCCACAAGTCAAACAAATAACAGGAAAAGTAGCGATATACATCGGCAACTTTGGCCCGTCCCGTACATTAACAAATGTGTGAATTTCGCCTTTATTTAGCCCTGATGGGTTTGAACCTGAGTCTGGGGTCAAAATGGATGTTATTTCCGTGATCAGCGCCCTAAAAAACATAAGAATCAATGGAAAAACTCGAATAAAAAGAATGTTCAAAATATACCCCACTGGGATTTGAACCCGGGTCCAAACTTCTTCGATTCGCTTGAAATTGGCACCATTGGTTTTGTCTTGTCACCCTGATTCCAAAAATACCCTTACATGCCCTGCTAGCTGTATCCGTTACCGAAATCCTCCTCGACCCCATGTAGACCATGATGCACCTGCAGCAGCGCCCCCGGGGCTCGGATCGGATTTGCTGCCACCGGGCGGTTCTTAGGGTCACCCAAGGAGGCTGCATACCAAATTTGGTCAAGATCGGACCGCGGGAAGTCCTCGGACGGCCGGACGGACGGACGGACGGACGGACGAACGAACGGACGCACAGCAAGGATCATACTATATGCCCGTCCCTCCGTCATTTTTTTACAAAAAATAAACGGGACGGGCCAAAAATGTCGACTCATGTCATAGGTTTGGATGGGAAATGCATAAGTTTGAGGTACCAAAGTGCTGAAACTGTCCGAAATGACAATTCGGTTTTTCAGAAGGCGAATTACTGTCTTTTCCCCTTGTCATGACAAATCTATTTATGCCATGCAACATCAATTTGGACACATTGTCAAAGATACATATGGAATGAAATTTGTTAATTTGGATTTGAGTTAAAAGCTGGTTGGAAATTAAATAATTAATGTGAAAAGCACATCAAACAGAAAATAATTATTTAATGAACCGATAACATCATAGATAATGAGTCAGGAATTAGTCAGGAAATAAAAATGTATCAACACGCACAGGGGTGATTCCGTGCGTAGGGGGTCATTTCAGGTCACCGGGGCCTTGCGCCTGAACTGAGGTTGATTTGGTAGCTTGGGCAATTCAAATTTGTTTTACTAAACGAAGACCATGTCCTCATGTGGATAAGTCGATCTAACTTTTGTTTATCTGGGTTTCGTAAGCTGCTAAAGTGTCGTTTTGTAAGTTCCGTCATGGTCACCAACACCTATAAGACAACATTGCCATGCTGTAGTATACGACTCAGCCACATCAAAAGAAAACTGGCTATTTCACTCTCTCCCCTGACTTATTCTTCACAAAATTACGGAGGGTGACCTTTGTATCATCACTTGTTGAACCCGAAACAGCCTTTGGGAAAATGTCCACCGTGTGACCATGTGACCTATGCTGTTTTTACAAATGACGGTCTACTGGGGTTCCTTTTCATTTTAGAAACTCGCGACCACTTGGGATCGAAAGAACATAAAAAACACTTCCAGAAGCCCGTTCCCACGGGACCTGGGGCGGTCAAACGACGCTTCCAGGCCGTCAGAAGAGTTCAAAACGGTAAGGGTGTAAAAATGGATGTAAATTCCGTTTCGGGCCGTAGCTCCTCCATCTGAGGGAGAAAGTTCCCACAACCTTCGCTGAAAAATGCTATTTTGGATGCTGAAAATGACACCGTCAACAGTTTTTACCTATCTTGTAACCCAGCGGTTCAGGAGACTAAAAACTTCGCTTTGTAAATTCCGTAATCTGTAAATTCCGTCATTATTTCTGTAAATTCCGCCGTATTTCATAGGGAGTGAAAATAAAAGTCAACTTGTAGCGCTGCCACGCTCAGAGGGGTACTGTGGGGTACTAGGTATGCCATCTACACCAAATTTAGCCCCTAAAGTTGAACTTTAAAAAAGAACATTTGGTACATCCAAAATGACCCCCTACGCACGGAATCACCCACAGACATAAAATCACATTACGTAGAATACACTCTCATTCCAAGAACGTGACACCACGTTGAAACGAACGTGACAAAAAGTCACTTTCTTTTGAGCATTGTGCCACATTCGTTTGAATATGAACGCTAATTTTGAACGCTAAACAAATGTGACACTTTGTCAATTTTTTCAAAAATGAGCTCATTTTGACGTTTCTGAAGGATACCGGGGACAGGTTACCGGGGGGGGGGGGGGGGCATTATGGCGCCGGGTGACCTGGGGGTTCCTATACTACTAGTCTGCAAAATCTCATTAAGGTTACTGTAAGATGAAAAAACTATCTTTCAAAGTACGTGGCAGTGCTTTGGTTTTTTTGTGATTTAGTTGCTTACTATGAAAAACTTTTACAGTCACAGACTGGACTCCCAACTCCCATTAGTTCCAAAGTTATGAGGGTTTTAGTGTTATTTTAGTCGTTTACTAAAGTTCTCCTTGCGATGAACCAAAAAGTTTACGGAGGTGTGAATTTTTTATTTTAAGGCCCAATGGACATGCAAACAGACTAGCAAAGCCGGATTTGACAATATGTGCATAGATAAGCTGTAATTTCTGTTTGGAAAATACATTTTGAATTTTTTACTAAAATTTGGTAAAATTTTGGCATTTTTTGGTGCTTTTTATACTCGTTCTTTTCACACCACTCACTAACATACAAAACTCTATGTGAAGAGAACGAGTATTGTGTTCAAAAATGAGTTTTGGGGGGACATCTTTCATCTCAGATCTCACAGCATGTGGGAAAATGAGAGTGGTATCAAATGAAAGATGGAGTGTCAGTCGCTTGATCGTAAATGAAGTTTTTTTTTTACTTGCAATGAGAAATATTGAGAAAATGAACATGAAAGAGAGACGTTTTTAGTGCACTATGTGAAACTAACCTCTTTTCACGTGTCTGTATCTTTTGATGTTGAACGCCACTGAAACGCAAAGTACAACAGCAATGACACGAGATCTTTGGTCAACAAAAATCTAGGAGGGTTTTTTGCAAGAAAGGGCCTATCTTGTATTGATGCAGTCATAAGTCTGAATGCTCATATCTCTCAATGTAAATGCAGGAATGAAATCTGCCTGGCTATTTTTC